AAGCTTGTTTTGTTTTTCAGATAAAGTCTGTCTTGTGTTGCAGCCTGTATGTGCTCCTTCATCTGCCTTCTGTGTAACCAGTTCTTGTTCTTTATTTTTTTGCAGTACAGGTATTGAACTCAGGCCTTGTGTTTGCCAGTCAAGCACTTATTCTACTGCGCTATCTCCCCGGCCCTGCTCTTTGTCTTAGTGGCACAGCAACTTGTTTCTCCAGTACACTTTACTTTTTTCGTCTCTTGACTTTTGCTCATACTATTTTTTCCTGAAACCTATTTCTTTTTGCCCCTCTTTTGGCTAAATCCTATTCTTTTTTATACTGTTTTATTCTTTTGCACTAGTGACCTCTAGGAAGATATGTTTCATGACCCCCAATGGATGCCTTGAACTGGATAGTACTGAGCCCTGTATATAATTTGCTTCTTTCTATTCTTTTTTTTTTAAATTTTATTTGTGTGTGTGTGTGTGGGGGGGGGGGCAGCTCAGCCCACCAGGGGGCGGGCTGGCTGGCATGTGGTGCTGGGGGATTGAACCGTGGTCCCTGTGCTTTGCTGAGCTTGTTCTAAGTAGGTGCTTTAGACCACTGAGCCATCTCACCAGCCCCATGCTTCTTTCTATTCTTACCTTTGATACAGTTTATGAATTAGACACAGTAAGAGATTAACAACTACAATAGTAAGATACAACAGCATATTGTTAAGAGTTATGTGAATGTAGTCTCTTTACTTTCTCAAAATATCTTGGCTATTCTTACGATAGATCATATAGCACCTGTGTAGTGAGATGACAGCAAGTGAGAGGAATGACGTAGGCACTGTGACATGATGTTAAGCTGCAACCTAAGGTTACTGAACACATGCCCTGTAACACCATACAGTGGGTCTCAACCTAGACAGCTAGTAAGTGACTAACATGGTGGGTGGCATACACAGTGTTGATACAGTAGATTATGAGTTAAATCCCAGAGCTGAGATGGTCAGAGCAGCCAGGGAGATTATATCATGTTACTCAGAACAGTTGGCCATTTAAAACTTATTAGTTGTCTATTTCTGGAATTTGTTATTTAATCTTTTAGTATCATAGGCACCTCGAATTTGTGGAGCGCAAAACCATGAATGGGGGAACTATTACACTCCTATTCTTCAACCTGGATTCAGTGCTTAAGCTTTAAGTTCTCATAGCACTTATACCCACTAATAAAGGTTTTGTGAAACACTGTTATAGTAACATGATTACTTTTTGCCATTGTACCCTGGGTATCTGGCCTAGTTTTTCACAGGGGGTACGTACTCCCTATGTATTGAATGGCCAAATAAATTACAGAATAGTTAATAGTATATGTTATCTTAGGGCTGGGGATATAGCTCAGTGGTTTAAGTGCCTACCTGGCAAGCGCAAGGTCCTGAGTTCAATCCCCAGTACCGCAAAAAAACAAAACAAAAAACAAATGAACAAAAAAGTCTAAAATATATGTTATCAGAAAGTTCACTTATTAAAGGGCCCATCTGTGGTAAGGATCCCACCCTTAATGAAGATGTGTTCCCCTGCAAAAATAAATAAATATTGAAATGCTCCATCAGTTCCTTGTCTGGGGGCCTGGGATTCTCTGTTTCATTCCAGTTTTACTATATGTGCTGCCAAAGGAAGCATAAAAATGTGATTTTGACAGTGTTCAAAATAACTCTTGGTTATCAAAGTATTTTTTTTAAGCATTTATTTATTTATTTGTGTGTGTGTGTGTGTGTGTGTGTGTGTGTGGCCAGCTCAGCCCACCAGGGGGGGGGCTGGCTGGCATGTGGTGCTGGGGGATTGAACCGTGGTCCCCGTGCTTTGTTAAGCTTGTTCTAAGTAGGTGCTTTAGACCACTGAGCCATCTCACCAGCCCTATCAAAGTATTTTATATATGTACTTAAGTTTCAGAAGACCTCTGAAAGTTGGTTACATCACTTGCATTTGTTTTTGCTAGAATCATAAAAGAAAAGTACTTAGCGGAAAGGTGATTGCAGATTGTTCATTATGCATTTTTCTTTTTAAAGAGATAGTCTTGGCCTTGAACTCACTGGCCTCAAATATGTGGAAATCTTCATGCCTCAGCCTCCCAAGTGCTGAAATTTAATTAGGGATCTGTTATGGTTTGTGTCTTATTGTCCTCACAAAACCTCATACAATCATGGGGCTGGTTTCTAGAGTTTGTGATTAATTCAGGATTCATTAATCCCAGTGCTGGGATTATGAGTGTAAGTACTGCTGGGATTAAGAGTGTGAGTGCTACACCTGCCCTGGGGCCGATAGCCCCAGTGTGGTATGAGGAAGGGAAGGAGGCTTGCTTTTTGCCATCTTGGCTGCTCCTCCCTTTTTGCTCCTGCTGTTCACCTGCTGTCCTCTACCATGTGCCACAGTGTCTTGGAGTCAGCTGAGTATGGGCTGAAACCTCCACAGACTCTTCCTTAATTTTGGTTGTTGGGTATTTTGTGCCAGCAACAAAAGAAAAGTAACAGACAGGATTGTTAAAATGAAAATGACACGACTCTGTTCCCTTCTCTTTATCACCTAGTTATTTAAATTGTAAAAACAAAAAAAGAAACACAGAAACAAAACCCTAAAAACCCATTCCAGGGCAGGCTGGATAGCTCAGTGGATTAAAGCACCTGCTTAGGCAGATGCAAGGGCCAGGAGTTTGATTGCTGGGAGTTTGATCCCCAGTCTGCTATGCCAGCCCTGCCCCCAGTGCACGCTGAGACAGTGATTGAGACTGGGTGTGGTACGCCTGTAATCCCAGCGCTTGGGAAGCTGAAAAATAGGAAGGATCACTGCAAGTACTATCTGTGTAGTGAGACCCTGTAGGCCCTGTACTAAGTATGTATGTACATATGTATATGTGTATCTATGTATGTATGTCGGGAAAAAAGGTGAAAAAAAGAAAAACCATTCCATCAGTAATAGAGATTAAAAGTCTTTGGGTCAGGGAAATAGCTCAGTGGCTTAAGTGCTATCCTGGCAAGTGCAAGGTTCTGAGTTCAATCCCCAGGACCAACCAAAGAAACGAAAAGTCCTGGGAGCTTGCTTTCTTTGTCAGCTGTTTCAGTTTCATGTTTGTTTTCAAACTTTACTTGTATATTTGTAAATTTATGACAATATCTATAATTTTATTAAAAGTTTTCTGAATTTATTTTTCACTTCATATACTCCATGTTTTTCTGTTTTGTCACAGTTTTGAGTAGTTTCTTTAATAACTGTTAGTGTGTTACTCTTAAAAGTTAAAGAGTTTTTTGTGATTTTATTTATTTGTATTTTTAGGGAAGGATGTACAGGGTCTCACTACTAGATTGGACTTGTAGTGATTCTCCTGCATGCAGCCTCCCAAGTGCTGGATTTACAGGACTGTGCCACCACGCCCAGTCTCGGTTCCTATTTCAGAGTGCCCAAGGGACCTGCCC